GACATCATTGGGGACATTGGGGAGAGCGGAGCCAGGAACCCCCTGAGCTCCATCCACGACCAGGGGGCCGGAGGCAACGGTGACAGTGGGGACATCATTGGGGACATCATTGGGGACATTGGGGACATCATTGGGGACATCATTGGGGACATCATTGGGGACATTGGGGACATCATTGGGGACATTGGGAACCCCCTGAGCTCCATCCACGACCAGGGCGCCGGGGGCAACGGTGACAGTGGGGACATCATTGGGGACATCATTGGGGACATCATTGGGGACATTGGGGACATTGGGGAGAGCGGAGCCAGGAACCCCCTGAGCTCCATCCACGACCAGGGGGCTGGAGGGAACGGTGACAATGAGGGGACATTGGGGACATTGGGGACATTGGGACATTGGGAACCCCCTGAGCTCCATCCACGACCAGGGGGCTGGAGGGAACGGTGACAATGAGGGGACATCATTGGGGACATCATCGGGGACATCATTGGGGACATTGGGGACATCATTGGGGACATTGGGAACCCCCTGAGCTCCATCCACGACCAGGGGGCCGGGGGCAACGGTGACAGTGGGGACATCATTGGGGACATCATTGGGGGATTGGGGACATTGGGGACATTGGGGACATCATTGGGGACATCAATGGGGACATTGGGGACATCATTGGGGACATCATTGGGGACATTGGGGACATTGGGAACCCCCTGAGCTCCATCCACGACCAGGGGGCCGGAGGGAATGGTGACAATGAGGGGACATCATTGGGGACATCATTGGGGACATCATTGGGGACATTGGGGACATCATTGGGGACATCATCGGGGACATTGGGGGATTGGGGACATCATTGGGGACATCAGGAACCCCCTGAGCTCCATCCACGACCAGGGCGCCGGGGGCAACGGTGACAATGGGGACATCATTGGGGACATCATTGGGGACATCATTGGGCACATCATTGGGCACATCATTGGGGACATCATTGGGCACATCATTGGGGACATCATTGGGCACATCATTGGGGACATCATTGGGGACATTGGGGACATCATTGGGGACATTGGGAACCCCCTGAGCTCCATCCACGACCAGGGGGCTGGGGGCAACGGTGACAATGGGGGGACAGTGGGACATTGGTGGGATTGGGGACATTGGGGACATTGGGGACATTGGGGGAACACTTGGGGACTTTTGGGGACATTTGGGGACAAGTCCATGGTGCCGGGTTGTCCCCAGTGTCCCCACTGATGTCCCCAATGTCCCTCTGATGTCCCCAATGTCCCCACTGGTGTCCCCAGTGTCCCCACTGATGTCCCCAATGTCCCCTCTGATGTCCCCAATGTCCCCACTGATGTCCCCAATGTCCCCTCTGGTGTCCCCAATGTCCCCTCTGATGTCCCCAATGTCCCCACTGATGTCCCCAATGTCCCCTCTGATGTCCCCAGGCAATGTCCTCAAGGAGATCTCGGAGCCGGCCGGAGCCGTCATCTACGCCAGCCGCTTCCAGGTCGGTGCCACCAGTGTCCCCAAGTGTCCCCAAGTGTCCCCAATGTCCCCAAGTGTCCCCAATGTCCCCAATGTCCCTTTAACCCTTTCAATCCCGTGCTATCCCCAATGGAATTGGTGCCCTTGGTGACACCTTGGTGACACTCTGGTGGCCCTGGTGACAATCTGATGGCCCGGTGGCAGCTGGGGGACCTGTCCCTGAGCATCCTGGAGCTGTGGGGGGCTCTGAGTGTCCCCAATGTCCCCAATGTCCCCAGTGTCCCTTTAACCCCTTCAATCCCGTGCTATCCCCAATGGACTTGGTGCCCTTGGTGACACCTTGGTGACACTCTGGTGGCCCCGGTGACACCCTGGTGGCCCGGTGGCAGCTGGGGGACCCCTCGGTGAACATCCTGGAGCTGTGGGGGGATCTCAGTGTCCCCAATGTCCCCAAATGTCCCCAGTGTCCCTTTAACCCCTTCAATCCCGTGCTATCCCCAATGGACTTGGTCTCACCTTGGTGTCCCTGGTGACACTCTGGTGGCCCCGGTGACACTCTGGTGGCCCCGGTGACACCCTGGTGACCCAGTGGCAGCTGGGGGACCCCTCGGTGAACATCCTGGAGCTGTGGGGGGATCTCAGTGTCCCCAATGACCCTTTAACCCCTTCGATCCCGTGCTATCCCCAATGGAATTGGTGCCCTTGGTGACACCTTGGTGACACTCTGGTGGCCCTGGTGACACTCTGGTGGCCCTGGTGACACCCTGGTGGCCCGGTGACAGCTGGGGGACCTGTCCCTCAGCATCCTGGAGCTGTGGGGGGCTCTGAGTGTCCCCAATGGTCCCCAGTGTCCCTTTAACCCCTTCGATCCCGTGCTATCCCCAATGGACTTGGTCTCACCTTGGTGTCTCTGGTGACACCCTGGTGGCCCCGGTGACACCCTGGTGGCCCTGGTGGCAGCTGGGGGACCCCTCGGTGAGCATCCTGGAGCTGTGGGGGGATCTCAATGTCCCCAATGTCCCTTTAACCCCTTCAATCCCATGATGTCTCCAATGCGCTTGGTGCCCTTGGTGACACCTTGGTGACACTTTGGTGGCCCTGGTGACACTCTGGTGGCCCCGGTGACACCCTGGTGGCCCGGTGGCAGCTGGGGGACCCCTCGGTGAGCAT